AAAATTAACGACATTGAGTAATCTCCCACCATGGTACTTCGATATCGGCACCGACAGAGAGTTAGTAGCCAAAATTCTCTCGTAGCCAAAGGCAAATATTCGACAATTCGATGATTGTTTTAGCTAAGACAGTCACGTATGAGTCGAGAATTTGAAAAACTAGTCAATACAGATCGTAGAAGATGTCAGGAGAATCGATAATGATCTGATATAGCATTCATCAGGAAGAAATATGATTTGGGTTTTATAATATACGTATCACTATATCTTGTATTCTAATAGGGCTTCTTTATAACCGCAGAGGGGAGGGGTGGGGACATCAGCTCAGACTCAAATTTTACTTCCCTAATGCAAATATCTACTTTAGATAAAGACAACACAGCCTCAATCCCAACCCCTTCAATTCCTTAAGTTTTTATGGACCTCCCGGACCTTGTTCCCTAAAACTGGTTCCCAAGATAACAGGGCCCAGTTGTTCAAAGCCCGATTAGTGCTAATCCTTGGTTAACTCTTAATAAAACCTATAGAGTTAATCCTGGATTAGCGCTAATCCAGCTTTGAACAACCCGGCCCTAGCCTCAATACCAACTCTTTTCCCCCAAAAAAACGTTTCTTCTTTTGATTTCTCGGTCCCTGCTACCCTGAAATTATTTCCCACAGAACTGTTTCCAATAGACCTAATTGGCTAACGTGTTGCTATAAACGTTTCCACCCAATTCAAACCACATGGGACTAAGTTTCATTGTTCGTTATATTTTGGTTTCACAGTTGTATTCGTAGAGACAAACGCTTCTATTACCAGAAGGTTTGAATTGGGTGGTAACGTACATAGCAACGAGTTAGCCGATTAGGTCTATCCCAAAGTTTCTATAGACTTCCCAGTTCTCCTAACCTAACCCCCCCCCCCCTCCTAAACAACACGGCCCCATCCTCTAACCCTCCAAGGGAAAAGAAACCGCTTCTTACCAGCCCCTAGTTCTCGGTAAGAATTATTTGAACGTCCCCTAAGATTCAGTGTTATTCCCTAAACAAGAGATAATTGTCAACTGATTAAGAAATGTTTTGGAGAAACTAAATCGATGATGATCGGTTCTTGTGAGTACTGCTGGAGTGAGACACGCTGGAACCAGTATTTACTCGTTTTAATCTGAGTCGGTAAATCCGCATTAATCAAATGTATTATAAATACAATGAAGGAATCGAGCCGCGAAATACATAAACACAAGGTTATGGTTATYGAAGGAGCAACTTATCAAGAATCGCTAACAATTATTAGTCAATTTTTGAAAAATTTTGCTTAACATTTGAAATGAAGAGCAGAAAGATAGGGAATTTTAGAAAAGGAGTTTACGTGCAACTGTTCCCCAACCCCTCCCCAGGTTAGTAAAATTAACCTCCTACGAAGCAACTCAGAGTTCTTGTGTTAGCTGACCAATATAGCGGCGATGACGTAAGCGATTGCGTAGAAATGCACTAGAATCTAATAGACCTCTTCGATTGATTTCCTAGAGGAATTGTTCTGGGGGCCCTCTTTTCTTATGCAAAAAAATCCATTGTTTTGTCCCTCAGAACAAGTCCTCTCGGGTCTCAGTGCAAGGGGTATATACCGTTGATGTGAGAGTGGCTCTTCATTCAATGAATTCAAATAGAAATTAAAAAGTCGATTTTTGCGGAGGGAGGGAAACCAGACAAAAAAAACTTGAATCGCAAGAGACAACCAACAGGAAAGTCTACTCAAATATCCCACTGAGCATAGGAATTGATGGTTTTCAACCATTCCCAAGAGAATTAAATAACAAAAGTCACGGCGGCCATGTTGGAGGATATAACAAAAGAATTCATTGACAATTATTTTGTTAAGTTCCTCCAACATGGCCGCCGTGAAAACCATCAATATGCGGACGCGCATTAAAAAAATATTGCAGAGAGATACTAAGCTGGATCAATAAAAAAGCTTTCGATGTGGCAATACAACAGAGCGTCACGGTCTTCATCGAAAAGCGTAGCCGTATTAGCTATTACGAGGTTGAGTCAAAAAAATTAGGCCGAGCTGGCATTGCAATGCATTGTGGGGCTGTTTTAGGCGACATATTTAAATCCAAGATGGCGTCTATTTCGTCACCTAAGATTGCCCCACAATGCACTGCAATTTCAACTCGACCCAGTTTTTCCCTCAACCTCGGAATGGCTAATAGGCCATTTCACATTTCCCTGCGCCATCTTGAAAGGTGCCTTTGCATCGAAGCGAGAAGAACGGTGAGCTTGCAGTGATAGAGACCTTTCTTTGAAACACTCAGACAATAGTCCCCTTCACAGTTCCCTGCGCCATCTTGAAAAGTAGCCGTGCCTTTGCATCGAAGCGAGACGGAGAGCTTGCAATGATAGAGACATGTGAATAATTGTCCAAGGTGTTAAAAAAGGTCTCTATCATTGCAAGCTCACCGTTCGTCTCGCTTCGATGCAAAGGCACGGCTACCTTTCAAGATGGCGCAGGGAACTGTGAAGGGGACTACTGAAGAACGCTTAGCAAAAATAATGAGAGCGTTTGGTTAACTATCGAATAAAAATTAAAGAAAAAAGTTTATTAATTGCAATTCAAAGTTCTTCTGCATTTGAAATTTAACAGGCATTTTTACAATTCCATCTCTTTTTTTCCCACTCAAGCGTTTTACAMTAGCCACTAATTCTATGTTTACTTTCTGATTTATACTCTCACCATTCCATAAGAAAATCTATCACTACTGAAAACTCTTCCTATATCCCTAGCAATAACTGTTTTAGTATTTTTAACACAAGTGAATTTAATAAATAATAAAGAGGGTTTTTTCCTCAAGTTTTATTTATCTCTGCAAGCGGCAAAAGCGTGCGCATTAGCGATATGTTCACCTGTAGGTGAATATAGCAGCGTAAGACGCATATTCACTTGTGCAAAATTACTAATACTACTTTAATTCTGCTTCCGAAGAAATACTGAGCAAACGTATCTCAATATCCATTCTGACCTTGAAAGAACTTGACATGATACATGTAATATCTGCAGGAAAACCTTCAGATATTGCATTTATCATGTCGGATTTACATGATATCATGGATTGGCTGAGGACTCTCGGCCAATGAGAAGCGAGATTGTGAGCAAAATGTAAAAATAATCACTATTTGGGCAAAAATGGTGTCACGTGATCATTCCCGCAAAATGGATAGCAAACGAGTACATATTCGCACTCTAATACAGATCGTTAACAAAGTTTGGAGAAAAAAATATCTGTACATTCGAGCTTGCCATCCAATATGGCGGAAAAGATCACGTGACTTGATAATTTACGTCATCGCCGCCATGTTGGCTAAAAAATGGGACTTCGTTTGCTTCTTTAGGCCTGTGTTAATCTAATTTCCAGGGAAACTCTCAATCAACTATAAAGAATACTGTAAGGTGACTTAATTCTAACACGGTCTTCAGACAAAGCCACCAAATTGTTTCTCTGTAGTGCGTTACTAGAAAAAAGGATTCGTCTACTAAGCTTTGTACAAACTATTATAAATTAGTTCTAGTTGTAAATACGTTAACGACAAAACTATAAGCATGGCAAATAATAGAAATATAAATATAAGAAAAATTATCCGTTATTTGTTCAGGTGAACCATTCTACGATTGGACACTGTGTCATCAATCTGCGTTGATGATGATACGACCCAGGCGACGATAAATGGCTTCAAAACTAGCGAGACATTTMTAATTGAGCCTGCGCTTGTGCTGACCAGCAAACATTTGACGCTCGCCAAAGTATGCGCAGTCATGAGGATTTAAGAGATTAGAAAACCAAAAGTACAATCTCGACTGAATAGTCCCCTTCACGGTTCCCTGCGCCATCTTGAAAGGTAGCCGGGCCTTTGCATCGAAGCGAGACGAACGTTGAGCTTGCAATGATAGAGACCTTTTTTAACACCTTGAACAATTCACATGTCTCTATCATTGCAAGCTCACCGTTCGTCTCGCTTCGATGCAAAGGCCCGGCTACCTTTCAAGATGGCGCAGGGAACTGTGAAGGGGACTAATTCCTTTAGTTTTGCGGAAGCTAATTTTTGAAAAGTCTTTTTTCTTTTTTGTTTATTTCGCATCTATTTTTTTGCAGGAAAAAAATATGTTCGTTATGTGGCCATATAAAAGCTATTCTAATCAAATTGATGTTTTAATTCACATTAAAACACTAAAGTATTAGGCCCTGGCTAAACGAGGAAACATGTTTCCCTAAATGTTTCCTAATTAAGGTAGCAAAACTGTCAGGAAACACCGGGAAACAATGTTTCCATGCATTTTGGAAACATAAAATGTTTCTGCCGCACAGCAAAAACATTTTTTGCGTCTTGGAAACAAAATTTGTTGCACGCAGCAATGTTTCGCATGTGGCTAAACTGGGAAATATCGAGGAAACATGCGCGCGATAAACATGTTTCCTCGGTTAGCCAGGACCTTAGCAGCATGTTATGTATTTATTTATTTAATACGCAATTGATATTCATTGGAAATTAAATTTGATTTCCATTCTGCTTTGAATTGGTACTATTTTCTTTCTTTTTATCCCTATAATACGATAATGTTATTGTAGCTGAACTGCATTTGAAATAACTTAATAATTGAAGTGCCATATAACTTCATTTTCCTCTCTTTAGATCAATACGTTTGAGTGGTTTATTGAACGTATCCGTGTGTTTTAGGCCCCGTCCACACGGATTTTTTTTTTTCTTTTTTGCGGATACGAAAATGTTCGCGTCCACACGCAGCGTATTCAAATCGTTTTCGAATCGTTTTCACTGTCCACACGTATCCGGAAATTTCTTGATCCGCCCTGATGCACACTAGTGTCTAGTCCCTTTCAGGGATAGTTTTTCTTATTAAGCATGCGCAAAATCGTGTTTACGTCAGCGTATTCGAAAATTTGCGGATACGACCGTCCACACGTATCCTTATTCGGAGCGTATTAGAAAATTTCCACTCAGTCTGGAGACCGTTTTCGAAAATTTCCGGATACGGATAAAAAAATTTCTGGACACGTGTGGACGCAACCCGTGTCCGCAAAAAAAAAATTTGCGGATACAAAAATTTGGGGATACGTGTGGACGGGGCCTTAGAATTTATATTTCAGATTCAAGGCCCATAGAAATTCTATTTACATCGACAATTTTTTTTTCTCGACGATGGAACCAAATAATTGAAGGAGGAAAAATGATCCGTCGGATCGAAATTGAAGAGTTTAAATCCCCGAATATCATAGCAACCTGTCTTTGCGACACCATTGTGTTAGTGTACACACTGACACTTTGGACGAAGTTGAGTTACAGAATTTCGAGAAACTTCTAAATTATTTTTTCGGCGAAAAAATAAACTGAAGTCATTTGCAGTTTCATCACCATTTTGTGACAACAAAATGACGACGGAAAGAGTTAGAAATTTCCTGAAATAGAGGTACCCCCTATCATTTTCAGAATATTTTTTGTTCAGCATGAGGGAATTTTACTGCATTCTAATCATTTTGAAAGGATTTCTAATCAAACAACTACGTACGTATACACCTCAAACTGTAGAATTCATGATTTAAGCTCTTCTCGCGTTGATAAAGCCAACCTAAAAGCAAAAAAAAAAAGATTGTTAATACAATGAACTTGATTGTATACCTTTTAAAAATACGGCTTGATGAAGGAAAAAATAAACCAATAGCATTTACTAAGGCCTAGGGCAAACGTCGAACTTTCCATGCACCGAAGCACCGAACTTAATTACATCAAAGAATGCCGCCTCATTAATATCATCTGATATCCATTGTTTTTAATGAGTTCGGTGCATGGGAAGTTCGACGTTTGCCCTAGGCCTAAGTAACTGAGGATGCGTCATTTGTATTTTAATTAGCAACAGCCCCACAATGCACTGCCATGCTAACTCGACCCAGTTTTCCTCCCACCTTGGAATGGCTAATAGAGGTTTTGCAGCATCACGTGCCAATCCCCATAATGCTGCTTGGGCTTCCTGTGATTAGATGGCAGAACAATAAAATTCCTTTGCTCTTGGGAAGTGAATTCTTTCTCATGTAAAACGACTGTATTGTTCCTACCATCTAACATGGCTGTCGTCACAAAACCTCTATACACCTATTTCGAAAAAACGTCGGTTGGATATCTGAATTCAGAAATCTGAGACCGATTGGAATTGTGGGGGTCTGAGTGTTTTCTCGTCAAAAATTCAATATACAGTAAACCAGATAGTTTGCCAGCGCAGATCATCGCTCAAAGTTAGTATATCAAGATATTAACTTTTTACGAACTACTTATTAAAACCACAAACAATTTACAGCTTACAACCCACAATTTCTTTCGGTCTCAGATTTCATATGTCCGACCGACAACGTTTTTTGAAATAGGTGAATACCTGTAATGTTCCTGTAGACTGCTCTTGTCATAAGCCACATCACATGAGCCCAGAACAGTAACAAGTGGTGTTACTCCAGACATATTCTTAGCCAGTAGTTTGACTGGAACGTCACTAAATTCCTTTGCTACTTGACTGACTATAGCGTCCCTAAGAGAAACAGAGAGAAAACGCGCTCAACAGATAGTCACTGTAAAACTATGGTAAACTAGTCGCTTTTAGAGCGTGATGCACTCGGGCTTTCACATTTCTCGGCTCTGATGTGTGCTGCGAGCATTCGTTATCACGAATTCAGCGCCAAAGCACATGCACCTTAGAAAACGCCATTTTGTATAAGGTCTCGCATTGAAAGTGCGCAAAGCCCTATTGGGAATATTTATTTTACAGTATGCAATGTTTTTTTTAAACTGACTATATAAACTCACATGCAACGTGCGCAAAGCCTGAATGGGAAAAACATTTTACTCAACGTTTATGAGAATTCTTAAAATGTCTTGCAAGGCGCGCGAAGCACTAATGGGAAATATTTTCTTACGTCAGCAATAAATTATTTTCCAAGCCCGAAGTATTTCAAATGAATATAGCATTACAAAGAAATACTTACCAAGTTTTGGGGTATTCCTCTTTATTATCTGAAGGAAAAGTTGATGAATTTGCCTTCTTCAGCAATGAACTGAGCACAGCGATGCCAAACTGTAAAGCAATACACCACACACAGCGTTATTGAGCTACGGGTTACGTTGCTTCCTATTAGCACATATGGAATCGTACAATCTGCTTTCCCGGCAAAATAGGGCTTTGGTTGACGTCAATCAACAACACACTTCCATGAAATCGTCAACAAAAAAAAATTWTTTTCAAGGGTTTTTGGCCGTGAAATGTTATGAATACGCCCATTTCGTGCGTGCGGGAACGAGTGTAAATGAGCCAACTTGGCTACGCCTTTTGAACTAATAAATCATTAGATACTAACCTGATTGGCTAATACTGATGAAAGCGGCGAGGCTGGGTCATTATTACCATAAACTACGTACTTTAGTGACCGGAATACAACCTCTGCTGTTGCCACGTCAACCACTCGTCCCAATGGATTGATAAGAAGTGGAAGAAGCTATGAAGACAGTATTTATACTGTTATAACGGTTTATTAGTATTAGTGATTAAACCCTAGTGCGCACATCGTGGGATCACAATAAGGCGTCATCGTCGTTGCGTAGGAGCATGCGCAGTGGATTCATTTTTCTATAGTAGTCAGCCACCTTAATTGTACACTGTACCTCTAAAGACAGACATCTAGACAACCTCTGGGCTGATCTAAGTCAGGGAACGCCGTTAACTCACAGATAGAACCCTGAAACAACCTCTGGGCTGATCTAAGTCAGGGCACGGCTAACTCACAGATAGAACCCTGAAACAACCTCTGGGCTGATCTTAGTCAGGGCAAGGCTAACTCACAGATAGAACCCTGAAACAACCTCTGGGCTGATCTAAGTCAGGGCACGGCTAACTCACAGATTGAACCCTGGAACAACCTCTGGGCTGATCTAAGTCAGGGCAAGGCTAACTTATTGATCGATACCCTGAAACAACCTCTGGGCTGATCTTAGTCAGGGCACGGCTA